TGAAATTTTATTTATGACGTCATTATTTTTCAACTTATTTGAACGTATCTTGCTTATTCTGGATCGATTGTCTTCCACCTGTGAGTATGTTATAGCTGAGACAATTCTCTTTCAGAAGTGTCCCTTTATTTTTCATTTTGATGACGTCATCATGGTAAAAAAGAATGCTTTTTTGGAGCCTTGTCATCTTTCTTTCTTAAAAGATGTAAACAATTTTAAAATAGAGGGCAGCAGACTGTATTTCGACGCTATCAGACCGATAGTTCGTATACTGTAAAGGGAAAATTCGTGTGGCATTACCAACCAACAGGGGGTTATAAATTATACTTGACAAGGTTTAAATACATGTGCCATTACCGTCCTCGGGCACGTCGTATAAGGTATTCGTACTTGTGCGTTAAAATTTTAAAATTGTTAATATCACTTTTCAGATAATTTAAAGCACGTTTCAGGTCATTTTCAGTATTCCAAAACTTTTCATAATTTACGCGCCGTACGCTCATTTTCACGCCAACAGCACGTACTGAAGTTGGAAATTACGTTTCAGTTACATGTTTTGGGTTTGTGACACTGTATTAATATCATTACCGTGCGCATGGACGTTAAGACGTATGTGTACACATTTGTAAGTCATTAAAATGCTCAAAATTACTCTTTTTAAAAACTAAATAGAGCATGTTTTAGCATATAATAATTTTCAATCAGCACCGCGCGTGCTTCGTCAGGGTCAAAGTACAGCGGATCACCAAACTCGTCCTCAGTGACGAGTTCAAATCTAGTATTTATTATTGTTGTTGTTGTTATTGTAATTCGTGACTGACAATTATGCTTTAATGTCCTAAAAATATTTCTGATCGTTTAGATGAAGAAAATCCCCGTATTTCATGTCCAAGCAATGTTGATGTATCTACTAATGATGGGTCAGCTAAAGCAGTGGTGAGCTGGTCAGTCAATGTAACGGACAACACAGATTCTATATATGAAGTAATAGTGTCAGGCTCTGGTACAGAGTATAATGAAACTGGACATGAGTTTCCTGTTGGCATGACAACATTAGACTATGTTGTTACAGATGCATTTGGTAACAAAGACAACTGTTCCTTCACAGTAACTGTCAGCGGTAAGAGGATAATATAAAATATGTTACGACTATGCAACATCTACAGTTTGATATGTTTGAAAATGGATTGAATTTATAAGCATATGGAGAAAAAAAAACTGAGAACCATCAACAGTTTAATTTAATGATATTTTAAAATTTGATTTCTTTTGCAGATGCTGGAGAACCTATGTTACAATGTCCCGATGATATTGATGTAGCAATAACTGATCAAGGCCAGTCATATTCGACAGTTTATTGGAATGTATCAGTGAGTGACAATTCTGGGAGTGTGACATGGAATTGTAGCAGAGTATCTGGTGACAAGTTTGTCGTCATCTGGCCAATTGAACGACAGAATGTTACCTGCAGAGCTGAAGATCTGTATGGCAATACTGCAGAATGTGTATTTTATGTAAAGGTTTATGGTATGTTATTGTTTGTGGTTAAATTAAATCATTTATTCATTTCATGAAGTTTTTCGTTTTCAATAATGGGACAACGATAACATTACAGATGTAATACAGATTACCATAGAGGTTGCTTGAATTCTAATGCCAGCAATGTACCTCAGACTCTAATGTACTGATGATATCAGGACTAAGTAATGTAAATGGTAAGATAACGGTACAATGCTGCGATGTAAATGAAGCAGTCGCAGAATCTTCATAACTATGAAAATGGCAGCTTAATCACTGAAGAAGATGTAGACTAATATGCTACCTGTATATTTATTTTTTAAACATTGAGATGTGTGTTGTGTAATTCTTAAATTGTATATGTATATATGCATATTTTTAGAAATCAAAATGTAATCTTGTCTTGTTCAATATTATTTTTAGATAGAGAAAACCCAAGTATTTCATGTCCAAGCAGCATAAATTTGCCTACTGATATGTCAGCTGAAGCCGTGTTGAGTTGGTCAGTCAACGTTACAGACAATATTGATTCTGTGTATAAACTAGTATTGTCAGGCTCTGGTACAGAGTACAATGAATCTGGGCAAGCATTTAGTATTGGTCTGACAACATTGAACTATGTCGTGACGGATGCATTTGGTAATAAAAACGAATGTTCTTTCACGGTGACTGTTATAGGTAAGACTTTAAAAATCATCATTATCTGTTACCAGTAGACCTTTTCAATATTAAGTTTGAATTGTTCGAAGTTCTGGTTTAGTTATATATGTAAGATCGTAAACATATTCATACCTTTATATGAGGTTTGCCATTCCAAAACCAGCATACTGTCGCTAATTGTTAAACTTAGTAATTAGCATAAGAACATGGCAGTATTGTATACTTTAGTGCAGAGAAGCCATAATACTTTTAATCATAACTTTGACAATAGTAAATCGATGTCAGTAAATGTCCCATCATTTTAAGGCTTATACAGTTCATCCTCCAATTTGAGAAGACTATAATTCTGAGACCCTAATTTGAGACCACTTTTTCAAAAAACCAAATAACAATCTTCAATCTTTTACCACAAGGTTAACCCTCTAATTAAAGACCAAATTTTCGAGGCCACCTCAAATTTTCAGGTCCCAAAGGTGGTCTGGAATTATGGCAAACTGTAATAGGGAGAATAAGAATATATTAAAAAGTCAATTTTCCTTTTTTGGTCACTGATGCTTGTTTTGGGTTGGCAAGCATCATATAGTGAAACGCTATTTAACATTTTTATGCACTGTATATAGATACTGGTGAACCCATAATAGAATGTCCTGCCGACATTGATGTAGCGTTAACCGACCCAAGTCAGCCATATTCTACTGTTTATTGGAATGTAACAGCAAGCGACAATTCAGGGAGTGTGACATGGAATTGTAGCAGGAAATCTGGTGACAGGTTTTTCGTTATCTGGCCAATTGAACGACAGAATGTAACCTGCAAAGCTGTGGATTTGTACGACAATACTGTAGAATGTCTATTCTATATAATAGTTAATGGTAAGCCAAGATGTTTCGATGCTATTACAGTAATTGGTAGGGTATATTTTATGATGCATTTTTTGTGCGTACGGTACTGGCCATATGGTTTTCCTCATGTGGCTTTTGATATTGTTTTTAATTTATTATTGATAATATTGGTCAAAAAGTAATTGATATATTTACCTTTTTTCTATTTACGGGTTTTATTGAGCAGTTTTGATTAGTGTTTAACAAATAATTATTCTAACCGATTATAATACGTCTTACTCTTATGCTGATTCATAGATGAAGAAAACCCAAGTATTTCATGTCCCAGCAACTTCGATGTTCGCAGTGATGATGAATCAGCTGAAGCAGTGGTCAACTGGTCAGTGAACGTCACAGACAACACAGATTCTATATATGAAGTAACAGTGTCAGGCTCTGGTACAGAGTACAACGAATCTGGAGACTCGTTTCCTATTGGCTTAACAACATTAGACTATATTGTCACAGATGCATTTGGTAACAGAGGCGATTGTTCCTTCACAATAACTGTCAGAGGTAAGGGGACTATATTAAGTGTATTCTTTAAGTGACAATTTTATTAACTTTTATTAAGGTAATAATGTAACTGTGTTTTATTTATAATGAATAAATGTATTTGTATTGCAAATACATGTTGATTTCATGACATATTATTTGAATACTGTTTGTAGATACTGGAGACCCCATGTTGCAATGTCCTGGTGATATTGATGTAGCATTAACTGATCCTGGTCAGCCATATTCGACTGTATATTGGAATGTATCAGTAAGTGACAATTCAGGAAACGTGACATGGACTTGTAGCAGAGCATCTGGTGACAGGTTGGACGTCATCTGGCCAATTGAGCGACAGAATGTATCATGCTCAGCTGAGGATGTGCATGAAAATACTGCAGAATGTATGTTCTATATCACTGTATATGGTAAGCCAAGTTGTGAAGATTTTGTTTTATATCATGCATATGGTGTTGACACAAATTTTGTTGAAAATGTTCAAATACATTGTGGCTCCGTCTTTTGGTAAAAAAGCTGTCGAAATCAAAGTTGCTTCTGTTATTTAAATGTACTTTTTACTTCTGTTCTCTACATCAACTTTTTACATGTTGTATGCAATTCTATATTTCTCCTACCATTCTTTCCCTTTTTTTGGAAAGCAACTGTCATCCAATTTCGGGAACTAGACCTACTTTACTCATCTCATTTCTTAATTATTATTAATATTCAGTTAATTTATTTGGTCTTAGCTGTCACTTCACATATCCATATATGTTACAATAAATGTGTCAATTTTAGTTATGTTTCTTGTGTGTCTACCAAATCTCTTCTGTAAATATATGCCGCTGTAAGTGTTATTTATATTATCAAATATGACTGCCTTTTGAAGTTTGTGATTACAATTATGATTAAAAGTAAATGGTAAATTTTCCAAAGGCGAGTGAAAAAAACTGGAGAAGCCATCATTTACTCTGTAGTCATAATTTCAATCGTCTACTACAATAGAGCAGTATATATTTGGTTTATACGTTAATGCTGTTACAGTAGGTCTATAGTCAATGATTTCTTTTTATATAAGTACTGTCACAAATTATTAGTAAAGTATTGTTCTTTATTTCTTTAGTGCTAGGATGTAAAGTTCTAAAATGTTGACTGTTTTAGCTTCTTGTAGGCTGCTGCATAATGGTGTAATCTAGAATGCTGGTGTTTTTTCCTTCTAAGTTTCAACAAAACTCTTGTTGTTATTCTAGGTAAAGGTCTTTATTCCAAAGCTGTCGTATTCGAAACGAGGGAAAATATTACGTTTGTTTTAATCACTTAACCGTTATTTAGATAATTGAGCTTTATCTATATAATGTTACTACTTTGTATATAATCTATTCCAAATGATATACTTTTATGAACAGGTTTGTGTTTTTGTACAACTTCTTAAAGTGTTATGTAATAATATGTAATAAATAAGTGTTTGTCTTGTAAAATATCAGCTTTATATGATATGATATGTAATAAGTTGTAAAATGTAACAACAGGTTGAAGTAATTTGTATACATCATTTACATTGTTACATCGTTAAGACAGTTATGTAGGTGACCTTTGGAGGTTTGTATAGCATTGTGTTTTATTTCGATTGGATTCATTTGTAAGAACATGAAGAACTTGCACTAGAAGTTAAAAGAACAGGACTGCATGTGACATTGTTTGCATTTTAGATTTCATTATGGCTTAACTTTTCCATTATCAAAGCTATACACCAGGTTGAATGTAACCTGATAAAGCCTTGACATTTAAATGCCTTTTTGTTGGTTGCACATTCATTATATGACTTTATATAGACAAGGAGAAACCAAGTATTTCATGTCCCAACAACATTGTTGAGCCTACTGATAAGGGGTCGGGTGAAGCAGTGGTCAGTTGGTCAGTCAATGCCTCAGACAACACAGATTCTATATATGAAGTGGTGGTGTCAGGCTCTGGAACCGGGTTTAACGCAGAGGAAGAAGCATTTCCAATTGGTGTGACGACATTATACTATGTTGTAACAGATGCATTTGGTAACACAGACGATTGTTCATTCAGTGTGGATATCAAAGGTAAACTACACATACATATTTTTATTCAATCTTCCACTCCATCTCAACGATGGTTCTACATTGATATCACAATCTCTAGAATACCTTCTTAGACATCTTAAAATCTTTCAATTATTGCAATATAACTCTCTCACATTTATACTTTAAATGGTTGTCTAATAACCATAGTGTATATGTGTAGTTTATATTTCTTGGTAATTAAGATGACAATCTTTCGTTTTTTTAGATGATGAAGATCCTATATTCACAAACTGCCCAGAAAATATCAATTCTGAAACGGAGTCAAGGTCTTCTAGCGCCCAAGTTTTTTGGTCACCCTCAGATATTTCTGACAACTCAGGAGAACCAAGTGTTGTTGCCTCACACAACCCAGGATCTGTATTTAATTTGGGAATAACAAAAGTGGTATATACTGCACGTGATGACTATAACAATACAGCAGTGTGTGCATTTAATGTCACTATTGAAGGTAATGTATAGTATTATAGGAATGCATAATACAAAGTGTTACCACTTTTAAATAGCGCATTTTAGCTGCTTTCTAAAATGTAAAAATTATGACAAAACTCCTTAGAACATACGAATACAATGCAGTTTACAAAACTAATTAACAACATGTTTTGACGTGTCACACGTCATCATCTGGCAATAATACTTATGCTATTGCTGGTTTATATACTACCTACTAATGTAAGTCATGTACATAAAGGTCATGAATACTGTGGTAAGTCATGTATATAAGAATTAAAATAAAAGAGTGATAATTTAAATGAGTCGTTTGTTCAGTGACGGATATTACCAAAGCAATTTAAAGAGCATCTTTTATTTTAAGTTGATAATTATTGTGTGCGTGGACTCAAGAATAGTATAGAATTAGATGGTTTTTGCATTTAACTGAGTTTTGAAGATGTTGAAAAATGTGTGAGAACTTGTCCCGAACTAAGTGCACCTTTTATGTGTCTACTGGTCTCACCAATATATATGGAGTTACACCCTGTGCAAGTAAATTTGTAGGCAACACAGGCTCGGAGATTAGTTGGGACGTTACATAAAAAAAAAAACCCAGATAATTTATATCATTTAAAAGTAAGTTTAACATTAATATTAGAGCAATAATTTGTGATGACATGTAGGCCTTCTAGGGAAGTCAAAGATTAATCATGTTATATATGGAAAATGAATTCCAAATGTTTAGTATTCATTCATATATTTTGTTGCACGTCAATTGCAAATTAAATGAGTTACTTTGACTAATAGACTGTACACAATGGTGGTGGCACAATTATTTGTATGGTAGTACAATTATTTTAGTTACTTTTTATTATAAATCATTTTACAATTGCTGTTATAAAATTAAATATCTTGTAATATATATAATGCATGGCTACATGTAACCATAGGCCTATTTAATTATTGTTTTTTTATAGATAAAGAAGCACCGTTTTTAATGTGTCCTGAAGATATTGTGGTGATGTCTACTTCGTCATCAGGAATTAATGTCACATGGTCACAGCCTAAATATGACGACAACTCCGGACAGTCAGTGACACTAAGTTCATCAGAAAATTCAGGAGATGTGTTTACAGTTGGGCAATATATTGTAGCATATACAGCATTCGACCAATCAGGGAACAATGCTACCTGTCAATTTGAAATCACAGTAGGAGGTAACATAATAAACAGTTAAAAAATTGGACTTAGATTTTGGTTTTTCTTGAGGATACATAAATAGTTAGGCCTTACCAGGAATACATGGCATCTCTACCTAACTACTGTTTTCATAGCAATTGAAATAGCGTGAGATGAGATCATTAAATTTTTTTTTAAAAACTTAGATTTGTTCAAATCAAAATTTTAATAGATATAATAAAATAATTCATAATATCTGGATGGAGTGAATTCCACAATCTCACAATCTAGTTGGTATTGCATATTTAGAAGAGTCAGTTTTAGATTACAAATGTTTAAATGTTAAAAGATATTAATGACTATTATTGATAATTAATTTACTAGAAACTAAACTCTAGTGGGAGGAATAATGTAAACGACGCATATAATGTAAAATAATTGATTTACATAATTTGTAGGGCGTTGTTGTATATGTGGATGTAGTATACAATACCTAGTATAATTAAAGTCAATCAAATCAAATGCCGGACTTTTCAAAGATATCATTTCTACTTGTGATAGATCCGTGTACAACAACACCTTGCTTGAATGGAGGGACGTGCATTTTATCAGACCCTGACTTTGAATGTCGTTGTCCAACATTACATACTGGTGAAAACTGTGAAATTATACCAGGTAAATTGGATTGGATTGGATTTATTCGGTGTAAACACCAAGGATAGCCCACGAAAGTTTAGAAGAAGACTTATTTCCAGTGGAGTCCTACTGGTGGTGATTGGGCAGTAGACCAGGAGACAATCCCCTACTCTTTTCCAAAGAGTGTACTGTGTCCTTTATTGTGCACATGGGCCATCAATGCACACAGGACCAATGGTTTAATTATAACTTGTATTTCAGCCCTCCAGCTGAAATACAAGGAGAGACAGCGATGGGAATTGAACCGGGGACCTAGAGATCTCCACGGTTCAGCACACACACAGTGGCTACCACCAGATTAGCCGACTGAGCTAAGCTGCTCTCTCAATTAAATCTCTCTCAGTAAATTACATGTGGATGTACATTATGATGATATAAATACTAAATAATTATTCTAAGTATATAACCATATGCTATTATAACACAAATCTTAATCACTCCCATTCTTAAGTTTGTCATCAATTTCTGGCATACTAGGCTTAGACCTACTGAATAGTTAATCAGAAAAATTGAAGACATTTTTCTTTAAAAAACTCTTTTTTATGAGCACAGTCTGTAAAACAGTTTTAATACGTACATTATAATATTCATGTTTTAGGTTTACCAACTGCAGCAGTTCAACCAAGCTTTGTGAGTGTTGATTATCTAAGTGCAGCCAGGTTTTTTTGCAATATAAGTAACTCAGTTGATTGGCAATGGTACAAAGACTATGTTGCAATCCCACTTACTCAGAATCTGGAATATCTAACTATCGATAAAGTAAGTCTGGATGATCAGGGCTATTACTATTGTAAAGCATCGGGGGTATCGCCACATCAAGGTGAAACAGCAGATTCCAATATGGCGGTTCTGACTGTTAAAGGTAAACTCAGTTTATTTATAGCATAGGCCTAATATGATCAACGTCAGTTAAATCACAATAGGACGTCTGGTGGATATGGTGACTTGCAATAAAGCTTAAAATGTTAAAATTATTAATTACGTAAAGGTCAATACACGAAACATAGTTTGTATTATTCTAAATTCATTAGATTAATAAAAAATCAATCAATATCATAAACTGTTATGGTATAGAGTACTTTAGAGTACTCTATTTCTTGTTAAAAAAAATTGTCCATTTTGGTTTTTACAAAATCATCAGTTAAATATTATGATACTGTATTTCATTAGCATTTTTAATTCTTATTTACATATGGATTGTTTCAACTGATATTACTGATTATGATTTTTATTAATCCTAAATACTATAATCTTTTATATGTAGATGCAATAGCAGTACCAATATTACTGAGGTTCCTGCATTTGCAATTCACTTCAGCCATGTTAGATTTATCGTCCAAGGAATTTCAAGACGCATCCTCCACAATTACTAGTTTGGTAATTATATTTCAAGTTATTAAGAAACATTCCACCATCAATTTGCATTTGATAGCTGAATGTACCTTTCCAGAGTGTCTATCCATCTTAAATTTATTTATTTATTTGTTCGTTTGTTTGTTTGTTTATTTGGTATAAAATACTCAGAATGCCAAAAAAAGTTGAAATACTTTTGAGTTTGGCAATATGAAAATATATATGGATATTGTTTCTAAGATCCCACAAAATTACAGCTTAAACCTAAGTAAACATATCTGTGAGATGTCCCCGTATTCCTAGCCCTGTTTTGATTGGTCAGAGTTGTGTTTTATTTGCTTTTAATCATTAATTAATATATATAGAATCCAAATTACTTGCATGTTCATTGAATCGATAGACCTAAATGTTGTTGATTATTGATGTGTGGTGTGGTGCTAGGATCGATTCATATAGCGCGCAGTGATTATGAGTCTCCATATAATATCACCCTCACTATTACCATTGCAGGTACAGTTTGAGTCTTACTAATGTCGAGTTAGTTTCCCTGTTTTAGTTTCCCTGGTTTTTTTTTTTTTTTTGGTTTTTTTTTTTGTTTAATTTATTTTTACTCTTACATCCCGTTTTCCATTGTTTTTCTGATGGCATTGGTCACTTTTTCAAACATTGTCCAAGCATGGAGGAAAAATATCAAAATATGACATCATTCTACATAGGCCTAATTTAAATATTAATAACAGTCATAGTTCGAGTTTCCCTGACGTCGACATTTTCATGTATTTTAACCTAATAATTTTCAGTATGGTTTCAATTTTGGTTTTCGTGTGTTATTTTACGTTGACTTCTTAAATGAGTTTTTTTTTGTAATTTCAACATCACTTCCTCTTATGGCTATGAGGAAAAGCACTATTCTCTGTTTTACAAACAGGCATAGTAAGTCTAGTTATTATTTCAGCGCTATTGATATAACCAATAGATGTTTTATTTAGAAGGATACACACCATTAATGAAATTGATTATTATAATATTACTTTTTTTCTTGTATCAGTTAAGCGATGGACTGCAGAATCTTGGTGATTTGGTTGCTCAGGTACGGAGGTTAAGTAATGGAAGTGTGATTGCTGGTGTTAATATATACGTACAAAATCCACAAATGTCTTATGATGAATTTAGTGAAAACCTGTTACAAGGATTGATAGAGTTAGCAGAAAAAGATGGATTAATAGATCAAGATGCCATCACAATATTTAGCACAGGTAAAAACTAATAAGGACACTCACCCATGTGTCTGTCTCTTATACACATCTAGATGTGTATAAGAGACAGGAGTTAATACACTGTAAAGATGGCCGAAGCGAGTGTAAATCGCTGAATGTCTGTTGTAAACTACATCAGAATTGCAGTGTCTGTATTTTTAGAAGTGAAATTTCTTTTACCAAATCACTGACAAATGTTCCAACATTTATGTCGGAGAGGTTAAGCCAATATACATCAAAGGGAGTAAAATATAGCGATGGTAAAACTTGGACATTTTTTAAAGAGAAGTAGGCCTAGCCTATG